CCCCAAAACCCCAAAACCCCAAAACCCCTCTTTATAAAATTTCGAAGATTAAATGTGTAGATTAATTTAAGTTATATCGAGTTTATTTTAAGACAAATATATTCAAAATATAAATTCTTCAGAGGCTTCCCACTCTTTGAGCACTTGGTCATCATTATAAATATCTAGATTGAGATCTATAAGGTCGAATTCAGCGATTTTACCATCGCTTTCTTGCAACTTTCTTAAATCCTAATAATTCTTGAAGGACATCACTAAAATGCAGGACAATCTCTGTTTTTTCATATTATAACTATAGCCTCCAAAAACATCATTTAATTTAGCGAATAGCTTTAACCATTCAACTATTTTAGTTTATGCATTTTTCTTAGGCATTTTGCGACTTGAAATTATCTGAACAAATGTCATTCTTTCATTTCTATTTTCATTGAAAAACATCTAGTAATATATGACGTAGTTTTTTACAACATTATAATACTCTGTTTTTTCAATCATTGATGCACCTGTCCTTAATAATGGTTTTTAAGTAGTCCTTTACATGTATACAACTAACTTCAAAGGAATAGAAGAAAGATTTAGTTGTGCACTTATGCTTCCTGTTTCATTTTTTACAATTCTAGTTTCATCGTCTTTTTCTCCAATTTGAGAGGATTAAATTGTTAAATCATCAAATTAATCTAAGATTTCTCTTTCAGTTTTTGATCCAAATTCAATATTCTAGTTCTATTCTCCATAAGGATCAAAGTTAAGATCTTAAGTATTGCCTTAATTTGGTATTAATTCATTTTTCATAACTATTTTTGTCATAGGTTACTTTACCCTTTTTACCTCTTCTTAAAGATAATCATTGAGTTGCCTATCATCCCGGCGATAATTTACATCTTATGCTGCATTCATATCCATCAAAGGATCATGTCTTTAGAATTGATTTTGGTTCATGTTTTGCCTAGAATCTCGCTGCTATTGTTGTTATTAAAACTGATTTGGGGGATGATGTTGATTTTGATACTATTGTTGTTGCCGCTAATTATTTTGCTGATTAAAGTGAGGTAGATTTGGGTTTTCTTGACCAAATATTGAAGAATCAAATAGCGGTTGCTGTTAGTTTTACTAATACTGTAAAGGTTGTCTCTGCTATTGCTAGTTTCGATTTTAAATTGGTTGTTGCTGCTAGATTTAATTAAAAATAGGAGGGTCTTGTAAGAACTCTGAACTTGCATTTTTTTTCTGATGATCATAGTATACGCCAGGAGTGACTTAATCTTCAGGAAAACCAGAAAAACTGTTCTATTTTGTTTAAAATGCTGGTCTATTATCCATTGATGTGTCTCGAGATTTATGTAATAATCTACCTTATACATCATAGTTATTAATTGGTTATCTGTTAATAGGAACTCTTTCATTAAAATTTTGTTGCCCTATATCTTATCTTAATAAATTTGGACTTTTTTCTCGATAATTCTAATCTTATTGTCTTTCCTATCGTTTAAAATTGTTATTGGGATGCTGTTGCTGTTGTTGTTGATGGAAATAATTCCCCATATTATTATCATTAGGTTTAGCATATCCCCATTAGTTTTCAAATAACTATTCATTGGGACTTATAATTTTTTAAATTCTAGGTTCCATATTACAATGGACACAGCATCTATTTGATTAGAGAGCTCCTATTTCCTTATTCATAGCATAAATTCTATTCTCAGTGCTTTTGAATTTTTCTTTAACTTCATCTATAATCCAGTCTATCTTACTTTCATGAAATTTGATCTATGACGTTAATTATTATTGGTCTGGAATTATTCCAAAATTTCCTTAATTTAACGCTCCATAGCCAGATCCAGGCCTTGGCTCATTGCTAACTCTATTCAGATTCTATTAGAGCTGATTATAAAGATTTTGCAGATCATTTAGTTTTTAATCCTACTACTAGAATTTTAAGTCATATTCTTCTCTGATCTGTGCTACACAGTTGTGAGTTGTTCCTCTTCTATATTTTGCGCCGCATTATTAACAGATTGCAATCTGATTCTATTATTGATTGAATTGTGACATTAAGATATTTGTGATCTAATTAATAATTATTTACTATTTAAATTCTAATCTCATTATTCCACTATAAATTTCTCTTGGGGTTTTGGGGTTTTGGGGTTTTGGGGTTTTGGCG